AAACTCCCGTTCACTTGGGTGAAGGAAGCGAAAAGCGTCTGAGATGTCAAAAGCTTTACAGTGATGGTATAGGAAGTCATTCTCTTTGGTTGATCCGTGTCCAGAGGTTTTGTCAAGCAATGGGTTCTCAATGGTATTAAGGTCTCCTAGGATGAGCAGGTGGGTGCCTGGCTGGATCTGGCCTAAAATCGGACCAAGCACTATCCTGACGAAGGCTCGCTTCTCAGCTTTGTCTGCAGGTGAGTATGATGCTATCAAGGTGAGTCTAAGGTTTGAGCAGTGAACCTCCATCTTAACAAGTCTTCCTGAAGGGTGAACTAAAGGGTTGTGAAAGGAGAGGTCCGTTCTCCGGCTAAGAACCGCAACTCCTCCGGCACGAGTCACAGAAGAGGTGGCAGCGAAAGAGGTGAGATTAAGGGAAGACCAGTAGGTGTTATCAACTGCTATTCGCGTATCTGATAGGACCATTACATCTGCTCCTTTGTTGCTGTTAATCCACGCCGTTGTACGTTTTCGCTTCGTGAAGTCCCCCAGGCCGTTAGCATTCAGGCCCGCAAACGACAGCGTGTTTGGTGTATTCATTTAATCACTCCTTGATCGCCTCTACGCATCCACAGGCAGGTAAGACAGAATACAGCAAGAACTACCGCTCCAACTGAAATCACCATGGCGAGCTGATCCAGGTCCATTAAATCCCGTACTCCTTGCGGACTGAGTGCAGGTTTTCCTTTTCCCTTGTCAGGCGAGTAACCGCACCCAGCTCCCCCTGTCCATGCAGATGACGCGCAACAGTTATGTGCTCTGCAGCAGCAACAAACAGCATCCCGTGCGCCTTCCCGCAACAAATCTGAGTACAGATCCACTCCTCCCTGGAGCTTCCGGTGGAGATCAGGACAATAGCCGGGTCGAGCAGAATCGGCCGCACCAGGCGCGAAGCGGTCAGGGAAGCAGCTGCGACAGGCGGCTAGACGGTTAGAGGGTGAGTGACAGGTAAGGCAATCCGAACTGCTTAGGCATGTAAGTGTGCTGTTACCATTGATCCCATGCACATGACCTAGGCTCAAGTTCCACTTCCCTATGTTATGCTATCAGTCAGTGGGAAAAGCATCATGGTACTTCTCATAATGCGATCCCCCACAGAGCCGGCAGGAAAGCATAGGATAGTGGACCAGGAGCTTCTTGTCATGCTCCTGAGGGTGGTTGACTTGGTGAATAAAACGCCGCTTCTTGTCCTCCGGGTGAGGAATCACCAATCCCTTAATAGTCCCTGTATTAGCTCCAGAAACCGGATGCACCACACGGTGGAAGCAATGACCTTCCCGGAACGGCGTGACTTGGCGAACTTTCAGTTTGTATTTGACCAGCAACTCCTCAACAGCCTCCGGCATAATACTTGCAGGTATGTCCTTAAAAACCACTTCAATAGCCCGCTGATTAGAAGCTTTCTCCTTCGCAAAGGCCGCATTCTCAGCATGCAGCCAATGTAGAGTGAATGATGCTCCGTTCGGCTTCTGATACTCCAGCGCTGCCTGACGCACTTTGATCGCATCCTCTTCTTTCAGGAAGGATAACTGAAGGCGACTGTACTTTGTCTTTGCTACGTATGCGGGATTGATGTCCTGAAACTCAATCAATGTGTTAGCGCCGTCAGAGAATAATGAAGACCAAACACGCTTCAACAGCAGCTGCACGGTTGAAATGACCGACGCTATTTCTGGCTGAAGGACCAGCGGAAGAAGCAGGATCGTCGTGTGACGGATCTTCGCAGCAAAGTCCTTGGAGACCTCAAACTCCAGTTCGTCGTCGGAGTCATCATCCGTGAATTCGCCATCATCAAATGTGTCATGCGCCAAGGTAAGCGCCGTCAGCTTTTCCTCCAGGGATAAACCAGAACTTCCTGCTATCGGAGTGACTGGTTCCTGATCCACCACAGCCTTCCCCTTGTCTTCAGACATGGTAGCAGACGAGGATGCAGCAGAACGCTTCGGCACCAAAGGTTTACGTTCCTTCGGAGGCGCACGCGGCATGGCGCAATGATGAGTAGACTTGAGAATCAGGAGGCTTGCAGATGCCTGAGAAACTTGAAATGCTGAAACTCTGAGCCCATTATAATATAGCCGTAGTGATCCTCTGTCTGACCAGTATTCCTGGTGCAGATGATGAAGTGTTGCTGACAAAACCACTGGGTGGTTATCCGTAGCCTTGAGAACGCCTTGAAATAAAGAGAACCAATCATGTTGTCGCCTTGATAGCACTTGGATAACACGCTGGACAACTGTTAGAAAAGCAGATAGCGAAGCCTTGAGATTGTATTGACTGAAGAACCTGAACAGCTGATCCCGAGGAGCTTTTGACACAATGTCCGACTGATGGACACAATAAGTGTACCAATCGCTTCGTCGCGATAAGGCGAGTACAATGCCGTGGTTCTTAAAGCCAACTGATAACTCTGCTTCACGAAATGCCGGGTTGAATACCCTGAAGAAATCCATGGCGGCGAGCTCGAGCATTCGTTTGTGTGTTGAAAAATCCTGCAACGAAGAAGGGTCGTGCCATGTTGTGCACTTGATGGAGTGATACGGGTTCCTTGGTCCTATTCGGGCGGAGGCCATGTCTCTTAGCAAACTCTCGTACTTGTAGCGTGAACGGGCCGCTGGTTGGGATGCCTCGCCGGTCATCCGATAGGCGAAGGCCACGGCGGAGCATGTGAGGTTGATCGCTGATATCGTCGCCTTGTTGTTCAGCGCGTGGACTAGGTAGAGTGCCAGCGTGAGGTTCGTCGCTGGCAGAAATGCTAACTTGACTCGAGTGCATAAGTTGCGAAATTTGAGCCAGTAAGGCTGGTATGTCTTGATCGTGGACGGTGCGCGAACATCATTTATAACTTGCAGCAGCTGGTTTTGAAGCTTGGTCAACAATCCTGAAAGATTTAACATTCGAATATCAGTTACATATTATATTTTAGATGCAGGGCAATGATTGGGCTATGTGGTAGGCTGAGTCCGGAAAATGTTGTTGCGTGCGAGCCAGGTCAGAGGCACTGGCTTCCTTGAGCGAGGGGCAAGCATGCGACCACTTCTGGGGCCCAATTCTGTAGGGAGGGCTGTAGCAACGGCCACCATGCTGCTCCCGACCACTTGGGGACGACGAGTGTCAACTCGGCTTGTGTGCGCCTGGCGTGAGAAAGTGTGGCCGGGATGAAGCCGGGGGGCGGAAAGGTGAGGCAGCGCTCGCCTTTCCACGAGATCGAGAAAGCGTCAATTTCTGTGGCACTTGGGTGCGGTATCTTGGAGTAAAATTGCTGCAGCTTCTTGTTGCTAATGTTCGCGAAAAGGTTGATCGTGTGGGGACCCCATCGACGTTTAGGTAGGAGAAACCATGGCATGTGCAGCGAGTAGTCGTCGTGGTCTTGGATTTTAGACAGTTCGTTCGCGTGGGCATTTAGCTCCCTTGGGATCCATTCGATCGCCAAGCGTGTGTGGTTCTTGAGGCAAAACTGTATGACAACTTGACATGTCAGTGTCAGCTGAGGTTGGCTGGACCCCCCTTTCCGCAAGATAAACACGACTCCTTGGTTGTCCACGCGAACCAAAACATGGCCGCTTGTGATGTAGGACGCAAATATCTGTAGCGCCCATAGGACTCCCTAAAGCTCCCTTTGAGTGCTTGAGGTTGGGAGGAGCTCGCTCGGCATGCTGGCGCTTGCTTCATACGACGTGTCAGTAAACTTTGTGAGGGGGGCGCCCCAGCTGTGAGCGCTCGCGTCGACGTGGATCACAGCATCGAATTGATGGCTTAGGTGAAATGGGGCACTGTTAAATTGGTCGAAGTGCAGTCGCCAGAAGATTAGCTCCTCAATGGCGGCCCATGGCAGCCGGATCCTTGCGTGCCAAGATGTCGCTGCATCAATCAATTGTAGCAGCTCGTGGCTGAAGGCACGTGCCGTCGTGCCCAAAGCGAGGGACATGGAGCTCAACATTCCGGTGATACGAGCGACTTTCTGAATCGGGACTTGTTGGCCACGTTGCCCTTTAGAGATGAGTATGTTGAGCGTGTCTAGGAACTGCGCCCTCCGATCGGATCCGATGCTAAACATGCCGCAATTCATGTTGAGCTCCATCCCCAAAAACCGTGTTTGATGGGCCGGCTCGAGGCGCGATTTCTTCTCGTTGATCACAAAACCTGCCGCCCCCAGGTCGCGTAGAACCTCAGTGCATGTCTTGCGTGCTTGCTCCGCGGAGTCACAGAGGAATAGCAAGTCGTCAACATATGGGACTACGCACACGCCACGTGCACGCCAGCGTTTGGCCAATTGCTTGATCAGCTGGGTGAAGACAAAAGACGTTGTCGCCTGTCAAAATGGCAAAGCTAGGAAGCAGTAGAACTCGCCTTCGAATTGGAAGCCTAGAAACTTCCAGTACAATTGGTGCATCTCAACATGGTGGTAGCCCGATTTTAGGTCAATGGTGAACAACCAGTCGTTGCGTCGAATGATCTCTGAGACCCGATTCAAACCCTCGTATTTAAATTTGGGGACTTGGAGGTGTTGATTGACCTTGCGTAGGTCGATGATGAGACGACATTTGTCGCGTTGTTCCACTACGTTGAGTGGGCTTATGCACGAGAGCACAGTCCGCGAGGAGACCTTAGTTGCCGCGCCCGATGTGATTAGGTCGCGAATGGCCTCACGAGTGAACGCGGTGTGTCCGTGAACACCCGCGTGGCGAAGGGTGGCGGTTCTGTAGTTTTCCACGGCAACCAATATCCCCTGGCAATAATTGAGATAATGAAACTGCTGTCGCACCATAAAATCCACCAGTGCAATTGGTTACGCAATTGGTTGCGCAAGTGTCGTCTGTGACCGCGTTCTTGTATGGGTCCCATTCTGCCTCTCGCCACTTGTCATCCGCCACTGCACGTAGGGGTCAACCGGGGTGAAGTGTATTGGGTGATTAGCCTTGGGTCATAGGACCAGCCCCGGGGCCTATACATGCTCAGTGCTACGCCTTCTGTATCTCCTTGTACCATCCATCCTCTAGTCCTTCTCCTCTCCACATTCTCCCTTCTCTCTCTCTCTCTTTCTCTCTCTCTCTCTCTCTCTCTCTCTCCCCTCTCTCTCCCTCTCCCTCACTCTCTCTCTCTCTCTCTCTCTCTCTCTCTCTCTCTCTCTCTCTCGCTCTCTCGCTCTCTCTCTCTCTCTCTCTCTCTCTCTCTCTCTCTCTCTCTCTCTCTCTCTCTCTCTCTCTCTCTCTCTCTCTCTCTCTCTCTCTCTCTCTCTCTCTCTCTAATGGTCCTTGTATTAATAGGCAAGGTACAAGCAACAAACTACTGGTAAGTTGCAATCCTATGGCAGCCATGCAAGCAAACAAGTACTTCCTAGCACATCAGCCCTAATCTAGAGCTCCACCAAGGGCGCGAGCACCGTGAAACAATCTCCTAAGCGGAATTCCGCCCCCACCCCACCCACTGGTGGGTTTCCTGCTGCAGCTGCCGCGCAAGACTTGATAAGGTAACCAACGGATTGAGCCCTTTGGAGGGCTACTGACCATCTTTGCCGAAACTGATGCAGCATGAAACGATTATGAGTCGGCGTTGAAGTGTCGCCGAGCTGCTGTGTCTGCTAGCAGTTTCAGAAAAACCGGCACCTCCGCACACGGGCAGCCGTAGGTCTCGACCGCTAAGGGGAAAAAGCGCACCGTATCGGGGAGATAAGAGTAGTGCTTGATCTTCTTGTCAGCCTGCTCCCGAGCAGCCCATCCCCTTCCATTAGCGCCTCCGGGTCCCTGGTGCTGATGGGATCGGTAATGGTGACGTCACACACGTACACCGCGCCGCTGCTCCTGTCCCTCATGGTAAAATCAGCAGTTTGTTCGTCAACCGGGCAATGTTCCGCTGTCTCCCCATGCACAATGAACCCCACGTCCTCAGCCATCCTGATGTATGCATCGCGGAGCTCATTGTGAGTTTTGATGCGATGCTTGCCTGTCCCGCATCCGAACAAGTGATTGGGAAGACGTGGGTTGGGGATGGCAGTATGCTGTGTGCAGTCGCAGTTTTTGGGCGTTGAGAAAGGGAGGCCTAGTCTGAAGCGCACCGCGTTCGCGAAGTGAACTGGACCAATATGCCGTGTTGTCGCTATGGGAATGGCCGTCAGCCAGTCGCCAGTGCCGTAGCTAGTAAGGGAGAACATCCTCTACGTATGCCCAGAGAGTGGATCAAGTCTCATGCGCCTGGTTTCCCTTACTTGGACAGAGTATCTGCTTCCTTGCACTTGGAGTGCCGGTGCATGCTGCAGCCTGATACCCTTCGGCTCCAGGCGCTCCTTCTCAAGTTGTAAGGCACGCAAGGTGGTAAGTTGGGTGTGCACGCGGAGTTTTGTTGCCATGTTGCGCATTTCCCGTGGTTATGCGCGAGCCCGATGCGTGTGAGGCCGTTGGTGAAATGAGTGAAAGCGGCAACGGTTTCTTGAGTTTCCCCCATGAATGCCACGTCGTCGGCATAGGCAAGGCATAGGACTCGTGGATGTGCAGCTGCTGTGTCGCGGAGGGCAGGGTGTATTCTGGCAGCAAAGAGCAGGAGGCCGAGAGGGTCCCCTTGCCGAACTCCCTGTTCACTTGTCAGGGGTTCGCAGTCGAATTTCGAGTCCAAGTATAGCTGCGACGGGTTACCGTAGGTCAATTTGACTAGCGGGAGCAGTGGCGAAAGGTTGGGGTCGTGTAACGCATTTGCGATCGCCTGGCGCGAGATGCTGTTGAATGCGTTCGAAATGTCGGTCTGTAGTATGGCGCTGTCTGGGCGTGCGTCCAGAAAAGCTCGGGCGGCATGAATGATTGCCTCTGCTCCACCTGGCACTGCCACCCCGTACTGTAGTGGCAGAAAATATGCACGTGCTGCTAGGCTCATGATTGTTAGGGCCGCTTTTGATGCCAACCGAGTCAGACATTCGCCAATTGCGATTGGTCGTGTCCCTCCTCCCGGCTTGGACAGGGCGATGAGGCGCGAGGATGTCAACAGGCCAGCCACTGCAGGCGGTAATTTTCCGGTCAGCAAAGTGTTCACCAAGGCGCGCAGGTGGGTGCAGACCGATGCTTTGGTTACTGCCGCGTCGCGTAAATGCTCAAAGGTTGTGCCTGCCGGTCCAGCGCCCACCCCGTTTTCGCATCTGCCGAGCAGTTTGACGAATTCCACGTGTGGGATGGTCAGACCTGGCGCTTGCGTGGCCGGCCAAGTCAGCACTTCGGGTCCATCTGGCGGGTGTTTCTGACGCAGTTTGTCTAGAATTGCTGGGCTGGGTGTACAGACCGGCATTGACTCAAGTGCCAGCACATCCCTTTGCAAACTACCCCGTTTCGCCAAGCCTTCCGCCCGTTTGAGCACCTCGGTCTCATCAGGTTGGTGTCGTGGCGGAGGCGGGTTGACTGCTTCCACGGCCTCAGTGTACAACCGCTCCCATTCGCCTCGTTGGAATGAGCTGAGTCAGGCCTTGATCTGGGGCTAGTTTGGACGTTTGGGCGAGGTCTGGCGAAGTGTGAGGCGCGGGAGGAAAAGGAGCAGGCGCCATCCTGATTCGGAGTCAGGGTTTCTTGAGTGGTGAAGGAGCGGGGTTAGCAGCGCTAGCGTAAACAGCTGACACAGGTTTGGCGGTAGACGTCGTGACAGAATTGGTTGTCGGCTGTCGCAGAGTGCCTCAATGTCCCAGTTCGCGATCCCAGCGAACTTGCCGCCTCGCCTCGCCAACTCTTCTGGCGAAAAATAGCGGGGGTTTCGCGGGCTCTGTCGAACCGGCGATTCGCCGCTAGTTGGACGAATTCCTTGTGCGCGGCTTGGCCTCGCGGTGCGCTCAAGGGTTGGAATTGTAGCCGTACAATCGCCATCGGTCGGCCCTCCATCTTCTCTGTTCCCTCAGGGGGTTATGTGAATGGCTTCCCTCTCCGTGCTGGCTTCCTAGCTGTGTCTCGATTCCCTTTGCTATCCACCTCGCTCTCCCTCTCCTCTGCAGGGACCAACTCCTCCCTATAAGTAGGGTCCCTAATTTCTTCTGCTTCATTAGTCTCTTCCAGCTCGTTTAAAGCCCTGCGTCCAACCGTGTGAATCCCGCTCTCCGGACCTCCGCCTAATCCGCTTGCTGCCTACCGGCGGCGACCGCCTCTTGCTCGGGATGGTGATTGCTAGGGGGTATGAGCTGTCGCCAGCGCGCGTTTTCGTGGCGTCGGCTGTGGTCGCCAAACCTCCGGCTGAGGGCGGAAAGGGGACCACGGTGATGAAGCCCCCGGTGCCGTTGGCTCCGAAGCCCGCGACAGCAGCCTCTGGAATGCCTCCTCCCCACGCACCCGAGGCTCCTGGTGGTGTGTCTGCCCCTGCCTGGCCCGAACCTATTGTTGCTCCCTTCGCTCCAGCTGCTGCTCCTGCACCCCTGGCTCCCTCCGCTCCGGCTGCCCCTCCCGTTCCCCTGGCTCCCTCCGCTCCGGCTGCCGATCCTGTTCCCTTGGCTCCCTCCGCTCCAACTGCTGATCCCCCGGTCCCTGTTCCTGTCGCGCCCGATTCACCGCCCGTTGCTGTCCCCGACGTGCCTGCACCTGCTTCTGTTTCGTCGCCGAGGGAGGCGTCCGCCACCATTGGCAGCCCAGCTCCGTCTGTTGCGCCCTCTGTGCTTGGTCAGTCCGCGCCTGCTGTGGCGCCAATGGCCCCGGCGAGTCAGCCGTCCCGCCCTCCGTCGCCTGACCGCCGCTTGTCTCGCCCCCACTCCCCCGCTCCTTACCAGGAGCGCAAGTCGTCTCGTCGCCGACGCGACTCCCCACGGCGTTACCAGCAGCAGACGCACTGGCCTGCTCATCCTGGTGGTCAGGTGGACTGGAGGGGTCCCCGCGGGCGTGGCGATGGTGGGAGGTACCGACCATCTGTGAAGATGGCTGACCTACAGCGGGAGGTCTCGCGGGCGGTGCGTGAGGAGAGGGTTGCGCAGAGCCTCGGTGCTCCCACCTACGCCCCCCGGCATAGTCGCAAGGGGCGCCGCCCCGTGTGTCTCCTCACACGACGAGTGAGGGGCCTTGAGCGCCTCGCCCTTCCATAGGGCAAGCATTTGCCATATGGCCGGGCTGGCTGCGGCGGAAGCAAACCCCCTTGAAGCGGGGTTCGTGGCAGCTCGCGGGTGGCATCCCCTTGCCTTCCGTTTCGCCGTCTCGAGTAGGCATGCGATTACCACGAGTGTAGCCGGCGCGTGCACGCTTGAGAGCCACCACATCCGCAATAGCGAGCTTGTATGAGCGTGAGGTTAACACACTCTTGGACTGGTATAGCTGAAAACGATCGGTAGCCTCGAACCCCGCCTCGTCTGCCACCAAGAGGTCTTCGAAGCGCTTGTTGAGGAGCATTTCGATTTATGTGACATTGGCGAGGGCGCTTTCGATGTCGCCGTGTTGGAGCTTGAAAATGACGTGCTTTAGGTGTGCCTGGATAGTAGAGAAAACCTCCGCCTGATCGCGCGCGCTTTTGCGCATGAAGGTGGTGGGTGCGGGTGTGGGGTTGAGGGGTGGAAGAGAAGGTGCGGGTGCGATAATACGACGACGAGTAATGTTGTTGGGGGCCTCACCATCGTCGTTCTCGTAGTCGTCACTGTCGTCTTGAGCGGCCATCGGCGTCGGTACGGGAGCGGGGAGGGGTGCGGCAGTGGTCTCGTTGGCGCGAGCAGCCTTGTTTGTGTGGGGAGCGGTGACTTCTTTCTGATTTTTTATTTTTGCAGGTGCTGAAATATAGTCGGAAGAAGTTGCGATTGTAACGGGGGTGTGCTGCTGTGACATCAAGAGCAGTGCCTGCATCTGCTGCGCCGTGAGGGACGCGAGGGGGTTGACTGGGGCGGCTTCTGCTAGGGTCGCTGCCTTCTGTCGCTTCTGCAGAGTGGGCCCCAACTGACCATCGTCGCCGTCCGTGTCGGCCGGCGTTGACTTGACCGGCGCGCGCCGCTGCTTGGAAGCCACACACTCGTCAGCAGCAAGCACGCGCGACTGTGAAACAGTCGCGCGTGCTTTTTCGGAGGGGGCTCGGGAGTTGCTCCCGAGCAGCACTTCAATGCCCGAAGTGCCCTCACCGAAATTGTCTTCGGCAGGGCGTTTTCCGTGGCGGTTGGGTGCCCCGGGCGCGTTCGCGTGCTCCGAAGCGTTACCCGGGGTAGTTGTCTTTTCTGCCTCTTGATTAATTGTAGTGTTGGCGGGCGCCATATTCGCCAAGATGTGTTGGAGAATGTCGATAAGCAGGGTTGACGGTGACTTGAACCACGGGAGAGACTGCGTCCTCGCCAGGATGAATGAGAACTGGGAAAGTAAAACTAGAAAGTTAATTAAGAACGTCGGTCGAGCTACCTTTGCTTTGCTGGCCACGTCCTTGCTTTCACAATACGAAATTTTGAAAAGTGTTACACTTTTAAAAATTATAATATCTGTGGACTCTAAAAACATAGTCAATTCTATCAGATACAGTTCAAGTGGGCTCACGACAGGCGCGCCAATGAACCTTATGATGAAATGAGAGACCAGATTCACAGATGATGAAAATGGAAGGCAAGGTAGGGTAAATATGACAGAAATCAGAAGCAGTGGGGCGGTTTGGGTGTGTGATGTGACGGTCACGGACCCTATTAGTACCAGGGACCCGGAGGCTAGAAAAGGCAGGGGATGGGCCGCCCGGGAGCAGGCGGATAAGAAGATCAAGCACTATGAGAACCTGCCAGAGACAGTGGGCTTCTTCCCCCTCGCCGTGGAGACCTACGGCTGCCCTTGTGCGGAGGTCCCTGTGTTCCTGAAACTCCTTGCAGACACGGCGGCTCGGCGATACTTCAACGCCGACTCCAAATCCTATCATGCCGCTAAGTTTCTGCACCAGTTCAGGCAGAGGTGGTCGGTTGCACTGCAGAGGGCCCAATCCGTGGGACTCATGATCAAGTTAGGAGAGGCGGCAGCTGCAGAGAACCCGCCTGTAGGAGGGATAGGGCAAGAATTGTACCTAGAGCCTCTTCTGGAGCTCTAGGTGACTTAGTGGGGTTGGATAGTCTAGGCGACCTTGCATGTTAGTACCTGCTGCCTCTCATTGCATGTGTGTACCCTTCTGGCTTATCAATATACGGACCATTAGAGAGAGAGAGTGAGAGGCATAGTTCCCTAGTCCCTTAGCCTCACAGCCTCTCAGCCACCCCTAGCC